TAAAATTTTTATATAAAATAAATGTTTAAAACTTCCAAACATCTCCTTTTCCCTTCCAAAGGCTGAGGCAGTTTTCAGCCAATCTAGGAAGACCCTGGAAATGTTGAAAATTATAGTCTCTATAAACACATGGTTATGAGGATGGCAAATAAATTTGTATTGTGTTTGAGCCACTGTACTTGTCGGGATTTATATTAATTATCTATTGCTATGTGATACATTGTCCCAAATCTTAGTGGCTAAAGATGACATTTATTCTATTACAGTTTGTTTCTGTGAGTCAAGACTTTAGGCAAGAACTAGGTCCTCACTTCAAAGTCCTCACAGGCAGCAGCAATTTGATGACAGTCGGAGCTACAATCATCTGAAGTTTGATTGACTAGGGAAGGCAATATCTGCTTCCCGACTTGCTCATGAGATGGTTGGCATGATTTAGTGGCTCACAGTCTGCCAGAAGCCGCCCTCAGCTAGTGGCTATGAGAACCTCTCCGCAGAGGAACTTCATCGTAGGAAGCAAGCAACAGCCGGAGGGCAAGAAGGAGTAAGATGAAACTTCTGATCTCCTCTCAGCAGGGAAATCGCTGCTCTCTGCCACAGTCAGGTCCCTAGAAACAAGTCGCTGTGTCAGGGTCCACACTCAAAGGCTAGTACACGTAAGTAATCACAGGATGTGAAAGCCAGGAGGCAGGATTTTTGGAAACTGCATGGCCTATTTGTTACAGCATCTATCTTGCCTAACCGTTGCAATAAGGCCAAGGGAGTCATTCTCAGCTTTGGCATGGGTCTTTCTGGTGCCTCATGTATCCTTCCCATTTCTGGAGGCAGGGGCAAACGTGCAGGTTATGGGTAACTGAAGGGTCAGAGATGGGTGATAACATGATCTACATCAATGCCATGACTACAGCTGTCCATCTCCAATAACAAACTGGGAACATTTTTTTTCTCTTATTACTCCTACTGGCTAAAGCCACAACAGAACATTCCCGCCTTTGTGCCTTTTGCTACCCTGCTTCCTGGAGATTCTGCCCAGCTTCTGATACTTTGGAAGATGGAAGAGGAAGAACGCCAATCCAGCTTTCCTGAGGCCTGAGCTGGGGAGTTGCTGGCCAGACAGCTGTCAGATGCAAAGATCTTGGCTATGTGTGTAGCTCCACTTAATTGCTCATCTGGCTAAGCCCCATTCCTCTCCAGATGTTGCATCGCAGCACTGCTGGAATTGCCGCTTTCAGCCCCCTCTCCTCACTCTAATTAAGCCAAAATAATAAGGCAACATGTTAGACACGACGATCAAGTTTTAATTAGACTTTGATAAACCCAATGTGAATTTGGTCTCATCAGGTGCAACATTTCTGATGAGCAGTGAGGCTGGTGAATCATGAGATGGTCTGGGTATAAATAGAAACTGGTCTTGATTTCGTTTGTGTGTACAGAAGGCTGAGTTTGGGTGTGTGTGTCACCACAATAGCCCTTTACATTGGGAGAGCACTTTACAGTTTGCAAAGTTTTTTCCCCCAGCCTATTGCTGAGTAATGGTGCGAGCCAAAGCTCATTTGGCACAAAGCATGCAAGCCCAGATGGCAAGAGCAGAGAAAAGATAACATTGAATCAGTTCCTACGCTGTGCCAAGCACTGTGCTGGGAGCACCATCTATGGAAGAGAAGTCAAACTCCCCATCATAAGTCTTAGCTCAAGTGTTGAGTGAGAACTCCCACCCAGGTCTGTTTGCTTCCTCTGTGGCATTCTCTTTGCCACCTCCTAAGAACAGTTTTCCAGAGCCATCTTGAAAGATGACTGTCATGGCGTCACAGAGCTGGAGCTGAAAGTGCTCCCAGAAATAGATCCACCCTCCTCATAGGGAAGATCAAGGCACTGAAAGATGAAGGCATGACCCGGGTCACACAACGATTTAGTGGCAGAATAAGACAAAAAAAAAAAAAAAAAAAAAGTATGACACAGCCACTCTCTAATTAATTAAATTCAATTTTACTTAAAAATTCTTGCTGAGTATTAAGTGTGGGCTGTGCACTACTTTGGGAATAGATCCATGAATTAAGGCAGGAAATGTTCCTGGAGCCAGTGGGTTTCTATCTTGTATTGCAGGAAGCGGCCAGGTAGTGAACAAAAAAGGAATTATGTAATTGTAATTTAAATTGTATGTTAAGGGAAGTTATATACTGGGGTGGTTTGGAAGAGAACTGTCCCTCATAGGCCCAAGTGTTTGGACACGCAGTTCCCAGTTGGTGGCGCTGTTTGGGGAGGTTGCAGAAACATTGGGAAGAATAGAGTTGCTGGAGGAAGTGTGTCACTGGAGTCGGGCTTTGAGAGCTTGCCACCTCACTCCACTTCATTTCCCTCTCTGCTCTGTGTTTCCAGTTGAAGAGATGATCAGCTCTTGCTGCCCTTCCCCCGCCACTAGGCGCTCCCCCTTGAACCATAATCAAACCAAACTCTTTCTTCGATAAGTTGCCTTTGCAATGGCAGAAAAGTAACTCATATACATCCTGTGGAGAAAGAAGCTAAGCAGGAAAGACCAAGAAGTTGTGGGGGAAGGGCACGGCGAAAGGTGCTTACCCAAGGTGGAGGTCGCGAGCATCAGCATCGCAGTTGGGTGAAGTTAAAGGTGGCTCTTTCTGTGATGGACAAAACTTCCCAGATGTGAAGGTCTCTAGCCTTCTACTGATTGGTTCTCTGGGGGTTTACTGAGTACTTGCTGGGTCTAGTATTTTGTTGTTGTTGAGGTAGGAAGTAAAGGGAATCGTGCCTAGGTATTTCTCAAAACAACAAAATCATTGGCTCTGATTTCCACCCCCATCCCCTCCCCGCCCCGCCCCGCCCTGCCCTGCTCTGTTGCCGCTGAACAAAAGTGCTTCCTGCTAAGTAACTCCACTGTCCCTGAGCCCTTCCTCAGGGTGCACACTGCTGGACATGAGAGGAAAAGGTGTCCCCAGCCCCCCTGGGATGCTGCAGCTTATCTGCAGACTTTCTCTCCTCTCGTGCTCTCAGTGCACGGCTACAGTGTCGTCTCTCTCCCCGCCCAAACATCCCACTAACCCTGACTTCTCTTTCCTCTTTTCAACCCCGCAGCCAAAGCTCTGTTTGAAACCCACCAGAAAACTAAATGAATCAGTGTCCCCTGCCCCCCCCCCCACATCTCTTCCCATCTGCTAATCTACTGACCCCAGACCATTTTCTCCCTCCTCCTAATTCTTTGAAGTAACATTCTAGAGATGAATGAGGTTCTGTCAGGGGCCTTCATATTACACTATGTGGGAGCAGCAACTCTTTGCATCTGGGTAGAATTTCACAGTTGACAGAGCACTTTCAAATCTATCATACAGTGTGAGCCCCACAAAAGTGCTAGATCGTTCACTTCCTTTAACCCCTAGATTGGAAAGCCAACACTCATAGGACTGTTGGATTTGTCTAACATCACAGAGCCAAGGAAGTACCACTAAACATCTAGCATCCTTTCTAGAATCCCACATTGCCTAGCCCTGAGGAGAGACCACGTGGACAAAGAGGAGGAGACCCAGCCTCAGGAAGAGTAGAAGTTAACAGGGAGATCAGAGTGCAAACCAGGAGAGTGGGAGGTAGGAATTCTCAGACAGCAAGGTGCAGAAATGGACTGGGAACCTTATCAAAGTGCAGATTCTGAGTCTATCTGGGGCAGAACCCGGGGTTCTGTAAGATCCCCCAGGTGGTGTTGATAGGGCCAGCCTCAAGATGCACTTTGAACAGCAGAGACCCTGCAGGTCCGAGCTCTGAGTCATCAGGTGGGAGCTCACATGCCAGCTCAGCTCCACAGTAGCATGTGGCTTCACGAAAGCCAAAACTCAATGGGTTCATTTTTTATTTGTGTGTGTGTGTTTTTGTTTGTTTGTTTGTTTATGAAACTGGGCAACCGAGAAATACCATGATGGGTATTCTGACTGTCCCTAACAAGACTGTCACCATAGGACTGTTCTACGTGTAGCCTGCACAAAGGCACTTGCTATGGGGATGGGTGTCAGATGAAGTCCTGTGTCCTCTTCACGCAATGCCCCCTGCAGGAGGCTACATGCACCTGCATCAGGGGGTGCCATTTTCTCACCCAAGGACAGTGCCTCGACTTTCATGGACTTCTGTCCCACCATAGCATGCCTATGGAGGTCAGAGGACCACTTGCAGGAAATGGTTCTCTCCTTCTACTATGCAGGTCCTGGGGGGTTAAACTTGGGTCATCAGGCTTGGTGGCAGACACCTTTAGCCGTTAGGTCACCTTGCCTGCTCCCTAGCACCCTGACACTTAATTGACCTGTCTCTATAGAGCTGGATTGGTTGTGAGGCTCCTCATCTCTGCTTTGCCTCCCTGCTCATGGCTCTGATTTTGTGCAGTGACCCCTTTGCTGTTCTCTCAACACCTCTGCTGAGTTCCGCCCTGGTGACAGCCTTGTGGTAGGACCCATGGTTGCTCACTGCCTTTATTCAAACAACAGGGTCTCTATGAACATGGACTGGATAGCAGTCCAAGCATTGCAGAGGTAAACAAAAAGAACACAAGATCGGTCCTGTGGAGATGCTGCTCACAAAGGGAAGAGACAATATATAAATATGTTGTTCAATCCTTCCAACACAAACATGCATGCATGCACACACACGTACCTGGACACACTCAGGCATACACACAGGCACACACACACATATGTGTGGTCAACCCCTCCTAAACACACACACACACACACACACACACACACACACACACACACACAGGAGTGCACATGCTCAGGCAAACACACAGGTACCAGGACACACAGGAACTCTCAGGATTATGAGATTAGAATGACGAGAAGATGAGGCTGGAGCCTAGTGCGACAGCCGTCACTGCCATTCTGCCTGTGCCCCGCCCTTTTCCCTACACGAAGTTATTTTAGGAAGCTGGAGTATAAAATAATCCATTCAACAAATGAAGTGTTTCTGGGTCCCGTGCCATGCACCAGACATTGTTCTTGTCTCCTTTCTAGGCCTTGGGGCTGTAACAACTAGCCATGGAAACAGACACCTCACCCTGCTGCAGCTTCTGCTCCCATCAGCTGAGGATACGCCTTTGAGCTGCTTTCTCCCTAGCTGAGACACTAGTGAGGATGAAGGAGGTGATGGAATCCGTGAGACATCTTTTCTTTAGATCTTCGAGGGAGGTGGGGGCGTGAGCCAGGAAGGGCTAAGGGATCCACTGCTGCCTGCAGACTGCTGATGACTTGTGTTGTTCACTCCTGTGGGTAAGATGCAGACTGTCCCCCTGAGAGCTTGCTCCCCAGGATGGCAGCACTGAGTTGGTGTAAACTTTAGTTCAGGGAGGCATTGTTACTCAAGGATTAATGTTGCACTAACTGGGGTGTCTTCTTGCTCTCCTGGGATCTCCGTGTCCCTTTCTGTGTCTCTGCCAGGTTGTGATGCATTGGGAGGGCAGGGAGAGCCACAGGGGGCTGAGTGAATGAGGCAGCTTGAGGATTGGGCTTTCAGCCTCCAAAACTCTGAACTATATGAGCCTTTTTCCTTATGAGGTTCCTAGCATCAGCTAATCTGTTACAGCCACAGGAAATGGGCTCATGTAATGATTCTTAGGAAAATTAGGAACATTAGGTTGGTTCTAGGTCAACATGAAGCAGGGAGAAAAGACTGCCCAGCGGGGGAAAGCTTGTGAGGACGAGCTTCTTAAGGGAGCTTCAATTGACCTTGCCCTGGGATGCTCAAAAAAATCTGAAGGAAAAGGGAAAGGGTATGGGAGGCTTGACAGCACTTGTATTCCATGTGTGTTTGTATAATCATCCCACCCAAATTATACGTGCCCTTCAATACCCAGCTTAAGAGTTATCTTTGCCTTGGGACCATCCTGTGTTCCTCTTTTCAACAGCTGTCTCATTCTCTACTTAGCTCAGAGCTCTGGTTCCTGTCGCAGAATCCAGGCATTCAATGAACACATGCTAGGTGAGTGATGGAAGGAGAGAAGAGGGTTAGGGAGGGAGGATACAGGGTCCATACAGACACAGCTTTGTCTCAAACAAGCTTATTGGTTCCTTGGTGCCTGCATGTGGCTTGGGGGAAGCCTCAGGAAATGTCTGAGACTGATTAATTAGTCTTTCTTCCCCCACCCCGTGGCCCCTAGACTGTGGTCTTGTACATAATAAAAGTTCAATAAATGTGTGCTGAATGAAGGAAGAAAAGCTTTGACCAGAAATATGAATCCAAGGGTTCAGTTTTCCCATGAAACTTTAATGCCAGAAAGGCTTTCTGCATATGAAATTTATCCTCCCCGATCACCTTTACATAATTCAGGCAGCCTGGGGTTCTTTGGGGACTTCTCTGGACATTAAGTTCCTTCTCAACAGTCTGAGAATTGAACAGTTGCACTTAAGCGATTACCATCCATTTGTCATTATGAAGGGGGAATAGGAAGAGACTCGAGGAAGGGCATGGAGATCAGAGACAAAGCTGTAGTGGACCCATGGCACAGAGGGACCCAAGACCAGGAGACAAAGGAAGTCAGAGTGCAGGCCATGAACCCAGAGACACAGGGGGCCTCTACGGCAGACTTCTGCTGTATTCATTCTTCTCCCCCTCCCCCACTTCCAATTGCATCATGAAAGTTCGCGCCCCTCAGCACCAGTTTGACAGACATCCCAACAGGAAGGATCAGGGAAGGAAAAAGATTTTTTTTTGTTGTTTTGGATCAAAAGCCTGGGAGAGGGTGAAGAAAGCCATGGAGGTAATTTTTGAAGACAGGAGTCTCCTGGGAGCTGTCAGAGGAGGGAGGGGGACTCAGAGAGAGACTGAGGTTCTTCTACTCTCAGCTCCCACAAACATCTGTTCTGATGGCTGGAGATGGATAGATCCCGAGTGGAGAAGGCCATGGATGCAAAGGACTACGACCCTCCTTGAGGAATGTTAGTAAGCGACTCCAGGGAGGGACCCAGAACTCAGAAGGAAGAGGAGGATCCACAAAAAAAGAGGAGTGGTGAGCCCCCTCCAAGACCCTTATCTAGAATAATACACTCTCCTTGGAGGTGAAAGGACAGCGTGATGCTGTTGGGGAAAGGGTCTCCATGGGCGTAGTTGAGTTAAAGATTTTCGAGACGAGTTCCTTCAAAACTATCATGTGTTCCCTAAGCCTCTGAGTGAAGAGACAGAAAAGGAGAAGGCATGGAAAGGAGAGGAGGAGACAACAGAAGACTGAGGCAGAGATGAAATGAGGTGGTCATAGACCCCAGAATGGCTGGGGCCAACAGCAGCCTGAGGGAACAAGGACAGGCTGTTCCCTGCCGTCCTCAGTAGGAGCAGGGCCCTGCCCAGCGCTTCCCTCCATGTTCTTCCTGTTGCACAGGACACTTGGTGCTTGGTGAGCAGGTATTCATCAAGATTGTCAAGGCATCACCAGGGAGCACTGCTTAACTGTTTCCACTCACGGTTTTAACTTAGTGAGTCATCCAACCCTTTTCATTGTAGGACACGAGAACATCCAGTCTGTGGGTTCCTGCCAAGGAGTTGGGCTGACTGTACTTTTTTCAGGCTTGAGGAATCTTGAGCCCAGAGAGGCTGTTGTCTTGCTGGGAAGGAGAGATGCCTGTAGGGTGACATATTCCTCATGAGTGCACCAGCAGGACATATTCCTCAGTGCACCGGAGAAGACCCAGACCAGAGACTAGAAGTTAACATGGAAAGAAGAGTGTAATACTAGCCAGAAGGCTTCTGAAATGGAAAATAAAAGAGAGACAATCCAGGGTAGAGTTGGAAGGGGAAGTGGGACATGGATATGATCATATTTTAATACATATATGAGCAAGCCAGTAAGCAGAGCTCCTCCATGGCCTCTGCTTCAGTTTTTGCCTTTGGGTTCCTACCTTGAGTTCCTGACTTGACCTCTCTTCACTATGGACTATAACTCTAAGCTGAAATACACCCTTTCCTCCCCAAGTAGCTTTTAGTCTTGGTGTTTGTCACAGCGGTAGGAACTGTAGCTAAGACACACATCAAAGCAAATTCCAGATGGAGCAGGGTTTTCATCATAAAAACTAAAACCATAAAAACACTGGAAATAAAACTTGGGAGAATTTATTTTAATGACTGTGATGTGAAGATGGTTTGGCTAAGCAAGACAAAAGTTCCAAGCTGGAAAAGTCAAGACTTGATTCATTTGAGTAGAAAAAAGAAAATTTTCTGAACATTAACGAGTGCTGTAAATAAGTGTTAAAGACAACAAACAGTCTGGGCAAAAACATCTGCAGCCCATGTGGCTGGGGTCAGCTTTGCTTTAATATGTCAAAAGCATTTTGCAGATCAATAAGAAAATAACAAATGAACCAATGGGGTGGGGGAGAGATGGGCTGAACAACACAAAACTCACAGACAACTCAAAGAAAAACTTGCAGAAGGCAATTGCTATTTTTTTTTTAATATTCAAGCCACTTTCATGATTGAAGAGAAGGAATGAGACATTTTCATCTATTGGGTCTGAGAGAGAATTTAGAGATTTGATACAGTCCAAGGGTGGCATTGGGCAAGGTTATCAGCCCTTCTAGGTGCTGTTAGTGGATACAAATTAGTGCAGGTTCTGAGGTGAGGAATTTGGCAAAGAAGGGGCCAGATGGTCAATGGGTGCAATTCATGCCTCCAATGGTTCAGTTTTCCCAGCCAGTCCCCAAGTCTACCTGTCCTCAGCCACCTCCTGGGATCCATCCAACCAGCTCTGGAGAATTCACTCCAGGCCAGGTCAGCCCAGAGCATGGTACCTCCTCCTCTACCACCTGCTCCCTATGCTCTCATTGATGAGGTGAATGTTGATGGCTCTGCCCAGTGCTTTAGTGAAGAAGCCAGTGAAGCTCCAAGACCTGGTCGGTACCCTGGCTTCCTCCAGAAAGAACAGCAAGAGGCAGCCTGTGGGAAAGGGAAGAGATGTGGGCCACGACATTTGCACTGTGCAAGCAGAGCTGGTCATTACAGAAATGGGATGGGTGAAGGCTGTAAAGTTGGCTGTCCACAGGCAGGAAATTGTCACTGTGGGATCTGTACAGACTGGCTGCTGACACAGCGACACCTATGCTGTAAGTTCTATGAAATCTGTTACCTCAGTCCAAAGGAGGGGGTCACCATGGACCCAAATTCTCTCCATCGTGGAGCCAACTCCCACAAGACTGGGGATACAGTGTGGTGGTAGTGGATGTGGTGACAAGCATGTCCTCTAAGAAAATGACTATGGAAGCTGTCACCTCTGCCTTCCTGGTGATGAGAGGAGTGACTCCCCAGGACAGTGCTTGAATGCCTTCCCATTCCCAGACACTCATCACATCCACTTCATATATTTTTATCATACCTTTCATAAATGATCACACCCCTCCTCCTCAATAAAATATTAAACCAGTATATATGCTTTAATATAGCAATCTATCTTCTGGGAACCTAGCTTTCAGATATGCTCATGCATATGTCACAGACATGTAAGATTTCATGATTGGTAGTAATAGTAAAAGACAAGAAATAATTTAAATGTCAATCAATGGGGAACTAGTTTAGATAAATTATAGACTGCCAGCCATGCAATGGAAAATTAGGCAGCCATGAAAAAAGATGACAGCTGGTATAGACGCATCCAAGATATATTAATTTTTTTTAAAAAAAGCAAAGTACCAAGCATTTCATCATTGATACAAAATAGGATTACATATGTATGGACTATTTCCAGAAGCAGAGCTGTCTAAACAAAAGTTGTACAGTAATGAGGATCCCTCTCTACCACATGAAGACAATCTCTAGCCAAACTCTAAGGAAGGGAAGATTCATCCTCCAGAATATAAGGCTCTTCCTGGCTCCCCAACCTAGTAGTACCAGACATGGAGCTGGGCTCTTTTCTAAGGTTGTTATGTGAAAATGAGCTTGATCAGCAAGGTGCCTAACAAAGACTGGAGGGGTGGTACTCTCTTTTGGCTGAGCAACCACAACTACATGAAGTCTTACAGTCTGGAGACCAGAAACCCAACCCAGGACGGGCTTCCCACTGCCAGTTGCTCCTGAGACCCAGCCTATGTGTAGGGACCTTATGCTGCCTCCTGGACCTGGGCTGTGTCTCCTGGGGGTGTAGGTAGATGGCTGGCTCCGAGGGTCCCTAGATCTGTGCCTGGAGGGAGATCAAGACACAGTTGTTGGCCTATATGGCTGTGCTTTCAGGGGTTCTGTGCATGCTCTCTGGAGTTCTAAGATGGCCCCAGAGTACTGCTCCCTGGCATCCTGAGATCCCCCAGGAGAGCAAAGGCTGGCTGTCTCAAGCACAGAGTGCTGTTTGCCTAGTCAGGGAAGATTCCAGTACTGGATACTGTTGCGTGCTGGGGATCTGTGCTGTACCTGTGAGCACTGGAGGACTGAGGACCTCCCTTGAGTAGTGATCATGTTTCTGGCCTGCCTTCTGCTGCTGCCAGCATCGCTTTGTCATGAGCCACCTGTTACCAGGTGATGTGACTTCCTAACCTTCTGATCTATTCAGTATCTTCCCCAAAACTTCTACCCTACAAATACACAAACGTGTATTATGTTCCTTCTGTGTGTTACACATGAGGTAGTCTTGAATTCAACTCTGTGCTTGGTATGATGGTAAACTCGACACCTGCTACGTGGAGGGCATTGTGGTTATCTTTACACATACTGTGTGCTGGATCCATAACAACTTGGTAGGAGTTGGGGTAATACCAAAAGCAGGCCTACTTCCTCGTCACTGGTCTGACCGGGACACGTACACAGTGGTCTGGGAGTTTCCTGGGCTTCTCAGAGTGAGTTCAGCAGCCAGCTTAGAGAACCAAATTGGTGAAGCTTTCAGAAAACTGAGGGCTAGAAATATGAGCAGACTTCATTTCAGGAGAGGCCAGGAGATCTGTGATTGGTTGCGAATGCTGATGGATTGGAGATCAAGACAAGCCCAGTTAGTCCTGGCAGGCTCAGGGAGC